GGAGGCAGCTCCTTATTGAGGTTGGGCGAAGAAATGCGGTACATTATTTCGGGTGTAAAAGGAGTACTTTTCGATCAGGGCGAAAATTGAAAAAATCAAACCCCGCCATCAAGAAATTTAAATTTTTTGTTTGCGTTGTGCTTCAATTTTACCCTTGGTTCATATTTTCTTTTCCTTTGTTGTTAAGATATTTTCACTTTCAAAGTATGGTTTAAAAATAACTTACATCGTTCGGTAATGAAATTCCTCTATTATGCTATCGGTTTCTGTAAAGAGACTAATGAACAGAGATTCAAAACGTTTATTTCTGAACATACAACAGAAAGAAACAAGGATTCAAATGATTAAATGGTAAACGAATTCAAGCTCACTGTTGTCCATTTTGCACGCCCAAACCCGATGCAGATCGGTGCATGCGCGTGGATTTACTGTTGGACAAAAACACTCGGTGGACACCCGCTGGGCCTTCGGGCTGCCAGGCCGCTGGGCCGTTGCGAGCCGCGGGCCGCTGGCCGCGGGCTGTGGGCCACGGGCCGCTGGGCCGCGGGCCTGTTTTTAGCAAAACCCTAGAGAAAGTGGCTATTTCGAGTGGATACTTCTTGTTATCTGTCATCAGTCATATGTCATACCATGTGTAGGAAAATAACTTATCGACCCATGAAACCTAAAAACCTGTGCTGAAAATTATATAACATAAATGTACTGTAATCTTCATTTTCATGCACAAATTTTAGTGATAACTTTTCGCTACCAGATTGGATGACTTTTTGAGCAATAATTTTTATTCTGAGACTAAGAATCTGGCCAAAAAATCTATTGTTTATGATACTAGTAGACAATGAGTTACTTTGAAAAAAGCAATAAACCACAGTTTCTGAACCGATGGAAAGTCTATTGCTCAGAAAAGTAAGTCATTTCTGTGGTCTTCGCAGAGTTATACTTGATATACCTTGGAGAATATACATCAGATCAGTCGTATGATACAACCAAATCATGGGCCTCCACATTAATTACTTGACGTTAAACTTAAACAGCTATAAGGTGTTGAATAACTGGCTGTGTTTGTGAAAACTTCAAAACTATTGAGAAGCTGTAAACCAAGTTTGCATTCTTGAATGCAAAAGCTGAATTTGGCGGATTTGACTTGCATGAACAATATAGGGTTCGAAACTGAAAGTGAATCAATCAACATTCATTCCTTCAGTAGCCATTTTAAGAAGATTTTCGAGCTTCTATGAACTGGGAACAATATAAAGCCCCGAGACTGCCTTAAGAAAAAACAAT